AAGAGTGAAAGGGTGTTTGATCTTTGTTCTAGATATTCCAAAATTACAGATTAAGAGCAGTGTCCTTGTGTCCTTGGTTTTGGATTCTTGAGCTAACTGTTAATACCAGAGGATTTTACAGCAGTACTTTAAACTTGGCATGTGTTGCTTTTGCGTGTGCCCTGGTCTGGACAGCTCGCTTTGGATTGCTGTACTGGATTGCCTGGCATTGCTGGGAGGCCCTTGTTACATGGTCAGACTGCTCCACAGAGGCAAAACCTGTGCATGTTGTGAGCCTTCATCTATGGTTTTAAAGTATGTTTGTGTTTCTTTATCTGAAGTATTTAGTGTGGAACTGGCACGTTAAAGGAAGATTGATCTTTAGGCTATAGTGAGAGAAGAGGCAAGGAAGCATCCAGGGTATGTCAGACCTGCTTTTTGAAAGAAGGCTTTTTGTATTTACTGATAATGGGTTTTTTTCAGAATGGCATCCTTTCTGCCAGGTGTAGAAGACTGCTTTCGTGGAATTCAAATCCAATTCTGGAAAGGAAGGCTGGAAAAGAATTGCACTAAGAGTTGTGCAATTAAATAATTACTGGAAAACTTATTAAAAAAATCTTCCAGATCTGTTAGTTCCCTGCACAGAAACAAAAAGAATGGTAATTGTGGTCAGGGACTGAAATAGCACGTTGAAACCGACATGTAAAACACCGCACAAAATTGGGTAAACTTATTGTAAGCTTTCTAGTCAGAAACGTGTGGATTAGTGTCGGTGGTCTTCTCAAACCTTTTTATTATACACTCATAGGTAGGAAGAAAACGGAAGATCAGGATTGAAAAAAAAAGTATTTTAGTATAAATATTATTGAAATAATGATAAACCTAACTATCCAATTTAAAATGTCCTTTGTACGTTGTTTTGCTATTGGCAGTGCTAGAAGGAATGTTACACATGCATTTTTTTAGGCAGCACGTTGACTTATGTGCTCACGTGCTGGAACAAGTTTTATTTTACTTTAAATCTGCTTAATAAACTCACGCTATCACATTATTTTGGAAGAATTGCAGTGCATTGTCAGTATATGGCTACTCAGATAAACTCATCTGTTTTTTATACGCAGGAGCATAATACAGCTGAATATATTTGGATGCAGGTTTTCTATATGACTCCGTGTGTGTATCATTTTTGACCTTTTTCTCTGAATGCATTTCTCATCCAATTTATGCCTGCACT